CCTGCTGCGCCTCTGCTGCAGTTGCTACTTCAACAGCAGCATCAAGGCCAGCAGCAGCAGCAGCAAACAGCAACTCCGACAAAGACAATCCCAAGACAGAATTAATCAAATAAACTCCGTCAGCACCCAACTCTGCGGCCTGCGCCACCTGCAGCAGCAGCAGCAGCAGCAGCAGCAGTGAGTGCAGCAGCAGCAGCAGCAGCAGTGAGAGCAGCAGCAGCAGCAGCAGTGAGAGCAGCAGCAGCAGCAGTGATAGCAGCAGCAGCAGAAGCAAGTTCGAATGTGGGAATGTAAGTGGAAAATATATAAGTATAAATATAAGTATAAATATAAATATAAATATAAATATAAATATAAATATAAATATAAATATAAATATAAATATAAATATAAATATAAACATAAATATAAATATAAACATAAAGAAAGAAGACCGGAGAAGCAAAACGGGGTGTACGTACACCCGAGGTGCATGCAACTCGCCTGAATGGGGTGTATGATGAGGTCCTTCATGACAACTGCAGGTCTTTTTTGGAAATTAAATTCATTTTTAATTCTTTTAATTCCTTTTTTTAAATCTTCTACACTTCCGCCCCAAGCTTCTCGGTCCGTCATTATCAACAACACGTCAGCTCCTGCAGCAGCAGCAGCAGCAGCAGCAGCAGCAGCAGCAGCAGCAGCAGCAGCTTTTGCAAATTTTCTTCTTTTCTCCCATTTTGCTTCTCATTTGTTTATTATTGCCGTTATTATTCTTTATTATTTATTTATTAATTCATTTATTCATTTATTTGTTTATTCATTTGTTTATTTAGCTTTTTAATGGACAACTGCGTGCTGCTGCTGCTGCTGCTGCTGCTGCTGCTGCTGTGGCTGACCTGCTGCAGCGAGCGGCAGCAGCAGCTCCTCAATGCTGCAGCAGCTCAATCTGCTGCTGTTTTGATTTTTCAGAAAAGTGGATTTTCTTTTAATATCACAAACCACACTTAGGGTCACTTCATCGGGATCTTGTGCTTTTAAAGCTTCGAAAAGCTCATTCCCCTGCTGCTGCTGCTGCTGCTGCTGCTGCTGCTGCTGCTGCTGCTGCTGCTGTGGCTGCTGCTGCTGCTGCTGCTGCTGGGGGTTTTCGAAGGCTTGGAGGCGCTTCAGCAGCCGCTGCTGCTGCCGCTGCTGCTGCAGCAGCACCTCCTGCTGCCTGCCGCTTGCGTCCCTGCATGCAGCAAGCTGCTGCTGCAGCAGCTGCTGCTGCTGCTGCTGCTGCTGCTGCGGCCTCGGCCGCAGCTTTTCAATTAGCTTCCCGTTGTGGCAGTGAGACACATAGTGCTGCCGCAGCTGCAGCGGGTCATTCATCGAAGAGTGCTGCTGCAGCAGCTGCTGCACCTGCAGCAGCAGCAGCAGCAGCAGCAGCAGCAGCAGCAGCAGCAGCAGCAGCAGCAGCAGAACGAAGCTCCCAAGATGCACACACACCAAAACAGACGCCGTCTACGCCCTGATCTAGGGTTTAGGGTTTAGGGTTTAGGGTTTAGGGTTTACCTCTTGCTGCTTTATATTCACAAGTCTTCTCAGCCTATCATAAGGCTCAGAAGGCTCTCTTAGATCAGCAGCAAAAAGTGCAGAGGGGCCCCCCAGGGGGGCCCCCCCCCAGGGGGCCAGGGGGGCCCCCAAAGTACCCAAAAAGGGGCCCCCCGTAGAAGGGGGCCCCCTAAGGGGGCCCCCTGGGGGGCCCCCTGGGGGGCCCCCTAAACAGGGGCCCCTCTTTGGGGGGCCCCCTAGGGGGCCCCCTGGGGGGCCCCCAGGCATCTGCTGCAGCCCGCAGCCAATAAAACCCAATAAGACCCTGGAGGTCCCTTGGGGGCCCCCAGGGGGGCCCCCAGGGGGGCCCCCAGGGGGCCCCAAGTGGGGGGCCCCCAGGGGGGCCCCCCTGGAGGACCCTGGGGGCCCTAGGGAGAGACTGTGTGCAGGCGATGCTGTCTCAAAGACATGCAGCAGCAGCAGCAGCAGCAGCAGCAGCAGCGGCAACCTTGCATGCTGCTGCTGCTGCTGCTGCTGCTGCTGCTGCTGCTGCTGCTGTTGCTGTTGCTGTTGCGGCCTGGCGACCGATGAGGGCCCCAGTCGAGTGCACAACATAAGGCAGGCCGTAAACCCTAGGCCCCAAACCCTAAACCCTAAACCCTAAACCCTAAACCCTAAACACTAAACCCTAGAGTGTGCCGCAAACTGGGCAAATCAAACCCCAACAAGCCTGCCCAGGGGGCCCCCGGGGGCCCCTCGAGCTGCCTTTTGCTGTGCGGGGGGCCCCTAAGCAGCAGCAAGGGGGCCCCCAGCCTCTGCTGCTGCAGCAGCAAACCCAAAAGTACAAAAAGAGGCCAAAAAGAAACAAAAATGGAACAAAAAAGACAAACAAAGACAAAAAAGAAACACAATTAATTTATTTATTCAAAGACTGTTCCAAATACCATTTTACTGGCTCTTGGGGGCCCCTGGGGGCCCCCGGGGGCCCCCCGGGGGCCCCCCTGGGGCCCCCTGGGGGCCCCCTGGGGGCCCCCTCGGGCTGCTGCTGCTGCAGCATCCTTCTATGGGAGGCTCTTGTGGTTTATTAAGAGTTAAAAGAGATTAAAAAAGATAAAATAAAATAAATTTAATTAATTTGATTTATTTATTTTATTATTTTCAACTTTTGGAAGCAAAAAGGAAGAAAACCCTGTGGGGCTCTTCGGTGGGACTCCCAGCTTGCTGCTGCTGCTGCTTCCGCTGCTGCTGCTGCTGCTGCTGCTGTTGCTGCTGCTGCTGCTCTTTTTCAAGCGTTTAAAGCTTTTGCTGAGCCCTCTGCCTCGACGGCTGTGGTTCCCCCCTAACGCAGCAGCAGCAGCAGCAGCAGCAGCAGCGGCAGCAGCAGCGGCCGCAGCAACAGCAGCAGCAGCAGCAGCAGCAGCAGCAGCAGCATAAGCTGCCCGTTCTATTCACAATGGCGCCCGTGACCGCGTTCGCGTCTTCCTCCCCGGCCTCCCCGGACGCACCCAGCAGCAGCAGCAGCAGCAGCAGCAGCAGCAGCAGCAGCAGCAGCAGCAGCAGCAGCAGCAGCAGCAGGAGTTTGACAGTGTGTCTGCCGGGGGAAACGCACACTTTGGGGGCTGTGCTGCGCACTTTGCTGCTGCAGTCGGAGACAGTCGAATTCGCAGGTTATTCTGTCCCCCACCCCACGCAGTGCTCCATGAACTTGAGGGTTCAAACCACCGGCAAGTCGAGGGTTTAGGGTTTAGGGTTTAGGGTTTAGGGTTTAGGGTTTGGGGTTTAGGGTTTAGGTGCCTCCGCTGGAAGCGTTTCTTCTCCACAACAAAATGGCTCTTTCGCACCCTTTCAAAGCCCTTTAAAAAAGCAAACAAACAAACAAATAAATAAAATAAATAAAAAATAAATAAATAAATAAATAAATAAATAAATAAATAAATAAATAAATAATAAATAAATAAATAAAAATGATAAACCCCGCGCGCTCGCTGGCTCTGCGGTGTACAGACACCCCAGCGCTGGAGGCGCTGCAGTTGGCCTTCGAGCAGCTGCGCGGAATTTGCGAAGTCCTCAGCAGCAAATACCAGCTAGCCATGCAGCACTTCCAGCAGCAGCAGCAGCAGCAGCAGCAGCAGCAGCAGCAGCAGCAGCAGCAGCAGGAGGGGGAGGGGGAGGAGGAGGCAGCGGGGGAGGACATCGACGCCGACGAATGAAGCCACACATACTGCAGCTAGCTAGCTAGCTGGCTAGCTAGCTAGCTAGCTAGCTAGCTAGCCATGTGGCCAGCTAGCTAGCCAGCTGGCATGGGGAGCTAACTAGCTATGCAGCTAGCTAGCTAGCTGGCCAGCTGGCTAGCTGGTGCAGCGACCTGCCTAGCTAGCTAGCTATCTAGCTAGCTAGCTAGAGGCAAGATTGGCTTTTCAATAGCTAGCTAGCTAGCTAGCTAGCTAGCTAGCTAGCTAGAGGCAAGATTGGCCTTTTAATAGCTAGCTAGCTAGCTAGCTAGCTGTTTAGCTAGCTAGCTGTTTAGCTAGCTAGCCGGCTGTTTAGCTAGCTAGCTAGTCAGCTAGCTAGTCAGCTAGCTAGCTAGCTAGCTGTTTAGCTAGCTAGCTAGTCATAGTGCTAGCTTTACAACTAGCTATACAGCTAGCTAGCCATTGGGCCTCACAGCTAAGAATGCAGTCGGCAGCTAGTTGCTGCAGCTAGCTGCTGCAGCTCATTGCTGCAGCTAGCTGCTGCAGCTATTTGCTGCAGCAAATTGCTAACTGCTGCAGCTAGCCATGGCTAGCTGTGGGTATTTCGTCTTGTCTTTGGGGCCTCAAACGGGGCAGTTTGATTTATTTATTTGTCCAACTAATAATTATTAATTATTTAAAATACCATTTTAATTTATTTAAAATAATTTTATTTATTTAAAATTATATTTTCATTTATTTATTATCTTCAAATAATAGTTCCTAAATAGGGGGGGCCCCCTAATTGCTGCTGCAGCTGCTGCAGCTGCTGCAGCTGCTGCAGCTGCTGCAGCTGCTGCAGCGCTCAGAGCTGAGAGCAGCAGCAAATGCCCCCAACTAGCTAGCTAGCTGGCTAGCTAGCTAGCCAGCTAGCTGGCTAGCTAGCTGGCCAGCTGACTACCTAGCCAGCCGGCCAGCTAGCTAGCTAGTTAGCTGTCTAGCTTGCTGCTGGCTAGCTAGCTAGCTAGCTGGTTAAAAGTGGCTACGGCGAGCTGTCTGCCTACAAATAGCTGCTGCTAGCTGCAGAAGCTAGCTGCAGCAGCTAGCTGCAGCAGCTAGCTGCAGCAGCCAGCTGCAGCAGCTAGCTCGTGCAGTTGCAGCAGCTAGCTAGCTAGCTAGCCGCGCTGAGGCCCTTGAAGCAGCAGCAGCAGCAGCAGCAGCAGCAGCAGCAGCAGCAATTAAGAAAAAGCAAAAGATGAGAAATGATTAAAGAGAAATAAATAATAAATAAATTTAATTTTGGATTATGAAAACTTGCCACAGAAAGACTTTCTTTACACTCCTCGCAGCTCCAGCTCGCGGCGACCCAGAGCCAACGCTGCTGCTGCTGCTGCTGCTGCTGCCGCTGCTGCTGCTGCTGCTGCTGCTGCTGCTGCATTGTGGCTGGGGGTCGGCAGCAGCAGCACTCGCGGAGCTGTTCTACTTGCTTTTTTCGAAGCTGGAGGGACAGCTACCTAGCTAGCTAGCCACCAGCAGCCAGCTACCCAGCGACAAGGATGGGGGGCTAGCTAGCTAGCCAGTTAGATAACTAGCTCGCTAGCTAGCTAGCTAGCCAGCTAGCTAGCTAGCTGGCTAGCTGGCTGGCTAGCTAGCCGGCCGAAGCTAGTTCGCAAGCTAGCTAGCGACAAGAGTTAGGAACTAGCTAGCTAGCTAGCTAGCCAGCTAGCTAGCTAGCTAGCTAGCTAGCTAGCTAGGTTTCAAATAAGTGGCGGTGGGAACAGCAGCTGGTTATGAGCTGCTGCTTCTGTTGGCTAACCACCGCCGCTGCTGCTCTGCTCTTAGCCGCTGCAGCTCAGCGTCTTCTTGCTGCTGCTGCTGCTGCTGCTGCTGCTGCTGTTGCAACTGCTTTTGCTGCTGCAGTTGCTGCTCCTGTTGCTGCTGCTGCTGCTGCTGCAACGCCGCAGTTGGGGAAAGAGACCCCTCCTGCGGGGGTGCTGCTGCTGCTGCTGCTGCTGCTGCTGCTGGAAACGCAGCAGCGGCTGCAGCAGGGCCAACTCCCAAGGCCTGCCACGAAGCGACAGCAGCAGCAGCAGGTGGTACAGCAGCAGCAGCACCAGGTGCAGCAGCAGCAGCAGCACCTGCTGCAGCAGCAGCAGGAATTGCAGCTCCAAACCAACTAGGAAGAGGAGGCATAGAAGGGACCCCGGGAAGGGCCCCCACAAGAGCTGCTTGCTGCAGCAGCTGCTGCTGCAGCAGCTGCTGGCTCCACAGCTGCTGCTGCAGCAGCTGCTGGTGCTGCTGCTGCAGCAACAGCTGCTGCTGGTGCAGCTGCTGCACTGTCAAGCCGGGAGCTCCCTGCTCGTGCGCTGCGGCGCTCACCGCATCCTGCTGCTGCTGCTGCTGCTGCTGCTGCTGCTGCTGTTGCTCCTGCTGCTGCACCATGAGCTGCGGAGCAGCAGCAGCAGCAGCAGCTGCTGCTGCTGCAGCGTCAGCAGCAAGCCTCCCCTGCTGCAGCTGCATTATTTGCGCCTCCACAATCCACAAAGCCGACTGCAGCCGATACGCCTCACACTGCAGCAGCAGCAGCAGCAGCAGCAGCAGCAGCAGCAGCAGCAGGAAGGCAAACACTTCATATCCCAAAGCCACAACAGCAGCAGCAGCAGTAGAGGAGCAGCAGCAGCAGCAGCACGATGCGGAAACCGCTGCGGCGCAGCACAGAACTAACTACACAAAGCCACAGCAGCAGAAGCAGCAGAAGCAGCAGCAGCAGCAGCAGCAGCAGCAGCAGCAGCAGCAACCTACGAATTGCAGAGAAGCCCTTAGTGCTGCCAGCAGCCCCTCCGTCTGCTGCTCTCGTTGGTCTGGGCTGTCTGGCCAGGCTGCTGGGGCTTGCTGCTTGCTGCTGCTGCTGCTGCTGCTGCTGCTGGAGCTGAGGTCTGCTGCAGCAGCAGCAGCAGCAGCAGCAGGCCTGCGCCGCGCACCCAGAGCTTGCTCAGAGAAAAGAGAAAAAGCCCCAAAGAGATTTGTGCTGCTGCTGCGGCTGACTCCAGTGTTGGGGCGGCCCCCGCTGCTGCTGCTGCTGCTGCTGCTGCTGCTGCTGCTGCTGCCCCGCTGCTGCGCGGGCAGGCTTCCGTCTGCTGCAGCAGCAGCAGCTGCTGCTGGCGCTGCGGCCCCTGCAGCTGCTGCTGCAGGCGCTGCGCCACCTGCTGGGTCCTGCTGCTGCTGCTGCTGCTGCTGCTGCTGCTCTCTTGCTGCTGCTGCTCTCGGCGGCTCCACAGGAATGTCAGCTCGGCAAGTGGGGCAGGACTGCTGCTGCACCAGCCAGGCCCTGAAACACAGCAGCAAAAATGCAAAAAGACTGCTGCTGCTGCTGCTGCTGCTGCTGCTGTTGCTGCTGCTGCTGCTACTGTTACTGCTGCTGCTGCTGCTGCTGCTGATTTTCGTGGTGTGGCTCTGCCCAATCTCTTCCACCGCCTAGCAGCCAACTATCCCTACCGCTGCCCTCACTCGCTGCTGCTGCTGCTGCTGCTGCTACTGCTGCTGCTGCTGCTGCTGCTAATGCTGTTACTCTACTGCTGCTGCTACTGCTGCTGCTGCTGCTGCTAATGTTGTCACTCTACTGCTGCTGCTACTGCTACCGCAGCTCCTGCTGCTCTTGCTGCTCCTGCTGCTACTGCTGCTGCTACTGGTGCTACTCCACTGCTGCTGCTGCTGCTGCTGCTGCTGCTGCTGCTGCTGCTGCTGCTGACCTGAGGCAGTCAATGTGGAATATGTGGCTGCAGGGCAGCTTTTTGCTGCCAGGGGCCAAGGTGTCTCTACAGATAATGCAGGTGTCTGCTGCTTCCAGCTCTTCTGCTGTTGCGTCTGGGAACCTGCAGCAGCAGCAGCAGCAGCAGCAGCAGCAGCAGCAGCAGCAGCAGCAGCAGCAGCAGCTGGAGGCATGGGGTGGTGAAAAAAGAAGGATTTTGAGACAAAAAGGAAATAAAAAAGAGACAAAAAGGAAATAAAAAAAAGAGAAATGAAAGACAAAAAAAAACAAAAAGGGAAGACAAAAAGGAGACACAAAGGGGGGCAAAAAAGAGACAAAAAGGGACAAAAAAGAAATAAAAAAGGGACAAAAAAGAAACAAAAAAAGGACAAAAAAAGGACCAAAAAGAAACAAAAAAAGGGACAAAAAAGAGACAAAAAAAAGACAACTTGTCCCCTTTTTGCCTCTTAAAAAGAGGCAAAAAGGGGACAAAAAAGAGACAAAAAGGAGACAGAAAAAAGAGACAAAAAGGAGCCCAAAAAGTGAAAAAAAAGCGGAAATAAGGCCCCGAAATGATCTAAAAAGCGGAAATGAAAAGCAGACAAAAGAGGAAACAAAAGGAGACAAAAAGGGACAACAAGGAGACAAAAAAGGGACAAAAAAGGAGAAAAAAGGAGAAAAAAGAGACAAAAAAGGGGCCAAAAGGAGACAAAAAGGGAAAAAAGAAAAACCAGAAAAGCCGAAAAACGACGGAAATGAAGCCCCAAAAACGCCGAGAAAGAGGAAATGAAAAGCAGAAAAAGGAGGAGACAAAAAGGAGACAAAAAGGGACAAAAGGGAGACAAAAAAGGGACAAAAAGGAGACAAAAAAGGGACAAAAAAGGAGAAAAAAGGGGAAAAAAGACCTGGAATCGAGGTTTTTGGAGAGGGCCCTGTACTTGCGGAAGGAAAGCACGCGGCGGTAAAGCGCTTTGGAAACGTGGAGGATGTCGGCAGTCATGTAGAGGGGCAGACGAGAAGGTTGAGTGAAGAAAAAAATCAACATGAAGGCCTGGAGGCCCCGAAACAGCAGCAGCAGCAGCAGCAGCAGCAGCAGCAGCAGCAGATGCAGCAGCTAATGCAGAGCTTGCCACAGCAAAAATCAGCAAAAATGACCACGTGGAAGTCGAAATACAAAAAAAAGAAATTTAAGATTTCAAAAGAAATTTAAAATTGAAAATAAAGAAATTAAAGAAATTAAAAGAATTAAATAAATTAAAATAAATTAAAAGAATTAAATAAATTAAAATAAATTAAAAGAATTAAAGAAATTAAAATATTTTAAATTAAAAGAATTAAAGAAATTAAAATAAATTAAAAGAATTAGAGAAATTAAAAGATTTTAAATTAAAAGAAATAAAGAAATTTAAATATTTTAAATTAAAAGAATTAAAGA